TTGGTATTCTCTCTTCTGCCAATTTACATGAAGTTATATTATATGGAAAAATACTGGGTTTTGTCACATTCCAAGATGATTGAGTAGGATATTAATAAGGGTCTGATGTGACCAGCCTATATAAGTATCTGGCAATGTAATTATGAGGTAGATCAATTTATTTTAAATAATCAATACAGGATCTTTCAACTGAGCAAGAAAGGAAGCAAATTCAGAATAGACATGTAATATGGATCAAATGAACTGAATACTTAGATTTTCTTATTTTGGGTGATACCTAGCCAAATAGAGAGAGAGTTCTTTGCAAAACTGAACAACAAGGCAGGGAAGTTCATGTAGGCAAGTAAAAAATTGTAATAAAATCAGAACTCTAGTCATCATGGAGGGGAAGGAGTACTACTACTCACCTTTGGAAAGTATTAGATGGCTGTACAATTCTTATGGTACTCTGTGATCATCTTTTCCTCTTAATAATTTATGTATAGGTATTTATGTTAAAAATAATTCTTCTTAATATCTTTAATCTTTGAAAGTTATTGTTTTTGTATATAGTCTATAGTATATTTTTTATAAAGTAAAGGGAACAATAAACATTAGTGACAATGGTGACAATATTGGGTCTGATTCTCCTTTCACAATAGAGCTAAGGTGTTTTCAAAAAAGCAAATGGGTGCCTAATGTTAAGCTCTTAAATCCATATTTAATATAAATAATTGAGAAGAAGAAAAACAGGGAACCACCTTTTAACTCTTGGGAAATGTGTTGGAATAGGAGCAGTGTAGCAGGCAGAGTGAGAAAAACTATGGATATTCTTTAAAAGGTAGAGACTGCCTTTCTTAAATAGACAGTTAACATGACACTTATTCTTGAAGTATACTAAAGCACTTCCAAACCACTGGTGTGCAGCCATCTGTGAGTGGAAAGAAACAGTTGTTTACCATGGATTGAAACACTGCACAAAAGATCTTAAAATCCCAGTTCTGCAAACACTATTGAGTGAACCTTGAGTAGAGCCATTGGCTTCAGGGTAGTAACCACTATGCTTAATAGTAAGTGTTTTCAGACCCTGTGTCAGGAAATGAAGAATACCATATCCTTTTAAAACTGCAAGAGGAATTTAGATAGAATGTAGATATCAAATAGTACTTTTGGTCAAAATACAGGAGTCAAGACCTCCGGAGTTGCAAACAAGTTCCATAAAATTGTTGATGATCACTGTGGTCAGGACTTCAGATTTGTCTCACCAGAAATAGATCAACTGCAACAGCACAATGGTTGCTTATTCTATGATGGGGCTTTGGATGAAATTTCTAGGTTTTCTTTGAAGGTTTCCTATCCAAGTATTGAGCCTACTTAGTTTGTGAGAGCTAAAAATATTACAACATGAAGGGGTAAGGTGGCTGCAGAAATAAACAGAAAACTGGAATCGAACAAGATGTACCATAGATAGGCCTGGAGGCTTCATTCTGCCAGGTGTTGAACAGTCTGACTTTGATCCAGCAAAGCCCTTAAGAACAGACTTAATTTGAAGTATATGAGTAGCCCCACTGAAGTCAATAAGACTACGCACGTGCCTCAATGCTTTTCTGGATCAGGGCCAGAATGTTCAATACCTTGCAAGACTGAGATCTCGGTGAACAATTTAGGAACTGAATGTAAATGTTCACTTTCTAATCCATCCACTCCTTCCTTCATCTTTGATCAGCCATCTCTGTTTCAGTTGTAGTTATGAGTAACATTTGTAAGCAACATACTTTTTTTTAAGGTAAGTAAATAAGCTCCCTTCCTTTCACTGTTCTTGCTGCCTTTGATGTTCTGCTCAGTTGCAGCTGCTCTCCAATGCAATCCCATTTTTCTGCAAGAAATCTATTAAAGTACCCAGTGCCAAAAGCTCTCTTTATACATCATATACTTGGCACTGTAGGGATTATGAGCATCTTACAGGTCTCAGAATGGCAAATCTCATGTTCAAATACCAACCTGCCATTTAGCTGTGCAGGTGCTATAACTCAGCTCCTGTGTTTGTTCCTGTTCTCCTACTTCCCCTGAATAAAACCTGAGATTTTTCTTGATGAATTTCAGCTTAAAGTTGAACCCCAGGAAGAAAAGTCCAGCTTGAATAAATAGACAACCAGGTGAAGAACATTCTTATTTCATGAATAAGACTTTGTGTTTGCAGACAGGAGTCAGCTATTTTATTGAATACTTTCTCCAGCTAGGAAATGGAATTCCTTGCCTATTATGTCCCAGACTGCAATCCACTTCTCAGGGCTGGCTGCAGCATTTCTGCCGCCCCAAGCAAAAAAAAAATTGCTGCCCGCGATTGGCGGCGGCAATTGGAAAAAAAAAAGCCGCGATCGGCGGTGGCAGTTCAGCGGCAGGTCCTTTGCTCCTAGAGGGAGTGAGGGGCCTGCTGCCCCCGAATTGCCGCAGGTGCCGCCCCTCTCCCTTGGCCGCCCCAGGCACCTGCTTGTTAAGCTGGTGCCTGGAGCCGGCCCTGCCACCTCTGTGCAAGTGTACAAAGGGGAAGGAGGCAAGAAGCCTTGCCCCCCTTGTTCCCTAGAGGGCAGCCAAGTACAATCAGTCGCTGCAGCCCCCAGAGCTGAAGGGGCTATTTGACCCTATTGATCTTTGTGTTCTGCACATTGGATGATCTCTTGCCTACTCTTGCTCATTCCTGTGTGGCCACACAGGGTGCTGATATGGATTGGGGGGCGGGGTGGGGGTGGGCTTCTGCATACAGTCTTTTTACCGTGTCCTGCAGCAGAGATACATGGCTTATGCTGCAAAGGGCTTTTTGTGTCTGTGGAAAAGGGAACTGAATTTGCCCCTTATAGCCTACTAATGCATATCCTTTTTAGCTTATTGCTATATTGACCAAGGGAGAATCGCAATGGTCAAATGATCCCAGCGCGCTCAAGTGTACTTAAGCATGTTAAGTTAAGACATTTTCATGGTGTGGAGCCAAAAGAGACAAGTTACCTTCAAATTAGCCACTTGAAAATAATCACTGTGGATCTTCCATGGGGGACATCTGCTTCACAACAGAAATGCTATTCCATGAGACAATTCAGTTGTCTTTGACAGGTACTGAGAGTGCCAGAGAGCGGAAATTACATGGTACGTAGGCCAGTAGCCCCTTGACTGATGCCTCTGACTTTGCTGTACAAACAGAGATCCTGCCAGTAAATAGGTACTAGAAGAGTATGTATTCACTGTCACAGAATGTTACAGGGAAAGGCGCTTGAGAAGTAAATACACTGGCTAGAAAATTAACTGGATCCAATTCTGTCATACACTAGCCATGGAAACAAAACTATGCTATTATTCACTCTCTTGACCTGAAATACATTTTACAACTATGATACTAAAGCCTATCATGTATTTGTTAATAAGTTGTGTTCAAGCATCTTAAGGAGAGGCTGATGTGTCCATATGCACACAGCAAGATGGCAATGTTTTGAAAATGTAATTCTATCCTAAGTCATTTTGGCTGATAGAAAAGATGTTTTTCACTATTTTCCGTTTTTTGAGTGATTAATAATTGCATATATATGTGACCCATATATGCCAATCCAAATGCTCAAAAATCATGAGTCAGGCCCCCAAACTCATGAGATTTAAAAAAAAATCAGTTTCATTTTGTCTCTCTCCTGCTGTCAAAATGTTTGGAAATGTGAATCAATCTTCTCTCTGCAGCCATGAGGGTTAGAAACTTACTCTCATTAGACATGAGAGCTGAGATTCTCAGGTAATAACCTGATTCAAGCAGCTGGGACTTAAAAAAAATGCCAAATATTATGAGATTCATAATGAAATGTTGAGAGTTAGCAGCAACGGTGGCCATTTGTCCCACAGTTACTGTTTCCAAGATAGGTGAATTCTTACTGTTAGCTTTCAAATCTGGAGAATCAATAAGGGACCACCTTTTCTCTTTTTTTCTTCAATCTAACTAGGTGGGAGGCACTCACGCTATGGTGGTGAGGGCTAATATAAGACCCTAACAAAAATAACAGCTTGAGCCCTGCTGACATCTGATCACAACAGTGCAGATGACAGAAAAAAGAGAAGCAGTGAAAGAGGAGGCACCCACAATAGAAATGGTCTTCAATCTGAACAGTGTCTTATAGCACAGCGGCTATAAGCAGTGCTGAGAGTGATGTTCCACCTCTTCTGTTATCACATTCTAGTGAGGGAGCAATTTAGTGCAGATGGTAGTCACAGCCCAGCAGTGGATTCAGCCACGAATGAGGCATTTGAAAGAGCATGGAATGTGTGGCAGATAGGGTGACCAGATGTCCCGATTTTATAGGGACAGTCCTGATATTCAAGGCTTTTTCTTATATAGGCGCCTATTACCCCCCACCTCCTGTCCTGGTTTTTTTACACTTTCTATCTGGTTGCCCTAGTGGCAGACCAAAGCAAAGTTACCTCATACTCTGAATTAATTGGATGCAAATTTGAAGACTCCCAGCAGAGTATTTTGGTCCCACTCTGGCTTTTAAAAAGCCCAATTCACTGGCGAGTTTTCAAACTGCTGCTGTGGCAATCAGGAAGAATGAGCTCCCTTTCCAGAGGCCCAGGGCTACCAAATACACAGGCAAGGATCCAGTAAGATCTTTAGACATGCCACTGACAAATCTAATGATGCAGAACGCTGAGTGAGGCAGGAGTCCGGCAGGGGGGAAAAAAGAGCAATCTTCTAATTAAAGACTATATTGTAATGCAAATGCATAAAACAGCTGAATTAAAGATGCATGGCTGATATCTAAGATCCTCAAACTTTAATGTTTTTAATATAGTTTTATAATGAAATATATACTTTCTAAATTCCATGTACATACTTTAGCTCTAACAACATCTGTCCTCCCTGTGCATTATGAAATGTGACTGAAAATTATACCTTGGAGGAAGAATTGTCCATATATTCACTGTTTATTACATTAACCAGTAATGTTTATTAAATTGTGCCCATCTCAATTTTATATGTATATAATCAGGAGGAAAAACATAAGGATTGATTGGAACACTGACAAAAGACCACATCAAAACAAACCCAAGTAAGTTGCTTTAATAAATCCTAATAATTTATATACCATAACACTGTAATATGGTTGTAAGCTCATTAGAACATGCTCCTCTCCATATTCAGGCCTGGGCTACACTAGAAAATTAGGTCAGTTTAACTATGTTAGTCAGGGGTTGTGAAAAATCCACACCCCTGAGCAGTGTAGTTAAGATGACCTATGTCCCCATGACAGCACTAGGTCATTGGAAGAATTATTCCCTTGACCTACCTACTGCTTTTCAGGGAGATGGATTAACTATGCTGATGGGAGAATTCCCCGGCAGTATAGGTAGTGTCTTATACTGAAGTGCTACAGTGGCGCAGCTGTGCCGCTGTAGTGGTTTTAAGTGTAGACAAGCCCAAGGCCTGGTCTACACTATATAGTTTGGTCAGCATAAACCGCCTTGCATCGACCTAGTTTTGCATGTGTCTACACTTAAAATTGTCTCCTACCGATGTAAGTGCCCCATTACACCAACATAGTAAAACCAGCTTGAACAGAAACCCACAGAAACCCACTGCATATAGTACATTTCATTTTGTCAATAATCAGAGAAAAAAGAGCAAATGCAACTGATGGATTTTGTTCAGACACTTTTTTGGCCTCTCTTTCTCTTAGACCATTTATCATCTTTTCCCCATGATCTGTTTCCTGTGACCCTGTTAGCCTTTTGTAACAGCTGAATAAAGGCCAAGTGTATTACATCATGAAAGCCCAGAAAGCCCCTCCAACTTCATGCAGAAGAAAATGCAGTATTAAATTATGCAGGAGGACTTCAGGAGACACTTAGGCTCCGATTTAGACCATCTGCTTGTCAAATGTCTTGTCAGTATATCTTCATATTAACAAAAGCTTTTTCATCATGAGTGATAGGTCTGATGACTGAACAAGACAAAGAAGTGCCAGTGATACTGATGTATCCCCAAAGGTTCTGCCAGTGATTAAATACAAGTTTGAATTTAGCTGATGTCAGAGTTGTTGTGACTTTCCAAACCTGGAAAATAAACACTTGCACAGACACAATTCTCTCCCTCTCTTCCCCCCAAAAAGAAGAGACCACTGTGAAAATGCACCGGTGGTTTATTAAATGAAATGCACAAGCACCTACTTTGTAAGTATATTTACACTTTTTCCAAAATAAAAAGTTTGCAGTTCTGTACGTAAAACTCAAGAACACACAATCAAGTCTCCCTGTCGACTTACTAGTTATAGGTTTAACTGTTTTATACCTGCCCCATTTTTGCCAACTCATTTGCTTTTCCCACACTTAGCTTATTAAGAAGTTTTGATCAAATCAATTCGAATATGTTAAACACAATGGATGCTGAACTGGCTGTACAAGCTATAGATCATATTAAAAATTGAAAACATTTTGAATTCCTGTCTGATTTTTAATTCCACAATTTTCCACCATTTTGATACAAACACAATAACCTCTGTCACAAACAGATGGGATAGAAATCTGACTCCCATTGTAAATGTGAGAAGAGAAGAAAAGTTCAGAGTCCCCAAAGAACAAATTTTCTTCTTCCAATTCTTCATTCAGCATCAGGCTTTATATTTGGAGTCAGACACATTCATTAACTAATGGAAAGATTCTATAACTTTTCTCCCATTTTTCAATTTTGTCCTTGTGTGGTTTGTCCTTTGTTAATTATACCAAGCCAGTTTCCCACTGAAACTGTGACATCAGCATCATTGGCCCATAATCTCCCATTCCTCCTTCAATTGCCTTTGACAATGGAGTACCTCTCTGTAGGGTCCATTGTTTGTGTGTAAAATGTCCCTGTGTAATCAGCAAAGTCATCCCCGTGCTCAGGGAAATATTTAATATACGTATGGTAGTTGGATGCAAGAGGAGAGATGATTCTTCTTGAGAATTCCACTGTGTGTCATTTGGAAGCTGGAACATCAGTTCTCCTCTTTCATTCAACCAACCATGAGGGATGTAGAAGAATGTTCTTTTTTTAACTTCCACAATGTGTTTTATGACTGTTGGAGATGTTCTTTCTCAATTAAGCTTAAATAGGTGGCTGAGCACCCAGGGGTCAGAAGTTTAGGATGATGATTGCACCTGAGAATCTCCCTTTTTTCTTTTATTATTGTTGTCTGAGCAAATAGTAAAGCCCTTCATCGTCATATTTTTCTGTGCGTTCTTGGGTGGCATCTTCAAAAACTTGGCCACAATATTTTGTGGTTTTCTATTTAGATACAATATCAATAGTTTGAAGATGGAATGTGGTGTTGTTTTTTCCATGTGGATGCTTGTAGCCAGTACTAGGTCCTTTCTCATGTTTGAACTTTTCTGAGTTACTGTCAATGTTGATTCTTTTAGGTCTTCCTTTTAATATTTCCTGTTTCTTTGCTTGCTGAATCTAATTATGGACCTCAACATTTAAGCCTCCTCAGTGACTACTATTCTAATTACAGTAGCAAATTCAAATACTGGTTAGTTTCAGAACTGATCATAATGATCCTGAAGAAATCCATGCATATAGAAACTCTAAATTATGTTTTGATGCTATTTCAGAGCCATTAAAATATGAAAATAATTGTAATCATCCCATTAATCTCATTAAGATGTAGATGTTCAAATTAAACATATTGATTAGACTTCTCTCCAGTTCAGAGCTCTCATGTATGGGTGAATTAGTTTAGGAAAAGAGTCAGCAGAGCACTAATTGTGCCTATTCATGGAGTCTTTACCCAAGAAAAACTCATACTGATGTTCAACCAGATCTATTTAAAACCTTTTTCTAACATCACTGTTTTTCTAGGTATGATTTTATAGTTCAGAGTCCTCCTATATGTGAAATGCTTTGTCTCTCTCTCTCCCACACTGAGTAACACTAAATTTCCAACTGGCATCCAAGATTTGTTTTTAAACTATATGGCCTGAAAAAGTTTGGGATCTGGTTACCTGCAAGATGGCTTTTCTCCCTATGACGTACTGCTATAGCTGCAATCAGTAGAGGCACTTCAGCTGCCTCTTCCTCCATTTAAATCACTGGGAGCTGCTGGTTAGGCTTTCTTCATTGATGGGTCCTCATTTATGGATCTTGCTCCCCAGTTTGGTCTATTAGAACCTGGATTTGATAACTATCTTGGCGTGTTGTGCGGCCTATTATTTATTCCAGGTATTTGGGGAGGTGATAGATGACACAGTAGGATTTTAAGGGGATAGAGGAGTGGTTGTTTGCTATAAAAATGTTAATTTTAATTTGTGAAGCTCCTAGAATCTAAGTGACATGTAGCTACAGCAATAAGTATACAACTGTTTACTCCTGAGGGCATTCTGCGCCAAAAAAAAATAAAAATTCTGCACACAATATTTAAAAATTCTGCAAATTTTATTTGTCAAATAAATGTGGAGGCTCCATTATGGCATTAGGGAGCTTCCCCCCAGGACACGGACTCAGCAGTGAGGCTGCACCCAACCCTGACACAGCGCATGGACCAGGCCTGCCCCAGGAAAACCCCATGGCCCTGCCCCTCTGTGCCAGGCTCATCAGTTGTGGGCAGGCAGCCTCAGCAAGGCAAGATCCAAGTGTGGAGGGGATTAGTACGGGGGGATCCAGGTGTGGGTTGAGAGGGGTCTGTGAGGGCAATCTGGGTGCGGGAAGCTGTGTGGAGGATCCAGGTGTGGGGGGATCTGGATGCTCAGGGGCTTATTGGGGGGTCTGGATGCAAAGGTAATGGGATTCTGCAGGGGAGTCCAGGTGAAGGTAGTTGGGGCTCAACAGTAGGGGGTCTGGGTGTGGGGGGGATAGAGCTCAGCAGGGGGGTCTGGGTGTGGGGAGCTGACACAGCCCCAGATGCCATGCAGGGGAAGAGGAAGTCCTGTTCTCCCCAGCCCAGCCAGGATTAGCAGCTGAGCCCAGCACAGGATAGAAGTTACCAGCTGGGTCTGGCTTTTGTGGACTGCATTCTTAGGGTCCTCCATCCCCACCCTAATCAATGTTAGTAAAGGTCCCCAAGGAGGGACAGGAGCAGAAGGCTGCGACCTTCTCACTGGGACTACACATCTTAGCAATAACCCTGCCTCAAACAGAGGCAGGCTGTAACAAGCTCTTTTTTCCCTTTCAAAAATTACCTCCATAACCTTGTCAAGCAACCCTCAGGTTTAAGCTGCATCCTCTCCTCCACAGATAATCTCATTGCTCCCTTCCCTTGGAGGTTCTTATCCCACAACCGCACCGTCAGATAATTACAGCTGGGAAATCTTATTGCAACTGTATAATGAGGGGGTGGAGGGAACTTTCTGCCCAGCAATGAAATGGGGGAAGAGATCTCCAGCCCAGACCTCTTCTGGAACTCTAGTCTTGGGGTTGTAAAAGGGGGGGGGAATATGATGGGGTTACTAACACCACCAGCATGTTTCCCTGGGTAATCTCCCACTTAATTGACGGCGAATGCTCAGCTATTTTTAAGCTGATGTTCATGTGTGTTTCATTTACCTTGCACTGCAGTAGTGCTGTGGTGGGTATGTACCCCATATTGGTACTAAAAGACTTAACTGGAGACACAAAGTAACCAGTGCAGCTGGTTGCACCTGGATGGTGGGTCAGGCCTAACTGAAGATGAAGACCAACTGAGGGAGGAGCTGGATGGTGAATGTAAAGGGAGGAATCCCAAATAAGAAAGCGTCTCCAAAGAGAAGAACTCTGTAGTTGCTCTCTGGTTGCTAGAGAGTGGCGGGGAAAGAGAGGCAGATGTATAGAAAGACCAGGGAGGGCTGTGGGAAAAGGCTTGAAGGAGTCTAAGGTAAAGAAGTCCAGGAAGGCAGCAAGGAGTGTGTAGGAGCGGACATTAGCAGCTTGCCACAGGGTCCCTGGACTGGAACCCTGAAGAGAAGAAGGGGCTAGCTTTCTTTATTGGTCCACTCCAAAAGGTAGTGCAGAAACACCCTGACAAAAGGAAGAGAAGGACCAGATCTCCTGGAAGAAAGCCGTAGGAGCCGTCACTCTGAACAAGAGTGGGAGGACAACCCTGCAGAGCCTGGGAAGGGGTGAAGAGTTATGTTTATTTGTGTTTAGTTTATTAGATTCTTGGCTTGCTCCAGAAGAGGAGGCACTAAATGTGACCTGACCTGAGGGCCAACTCACAAAAAGGCAGACAACTGCAGTGCCAGGGCAGCTTTTGGTAAGAGGGGCTAAAGGAGGAGAGCCTACTGTGCCACACCTAGCCAAGAGGATGGTGTACCAGCAACGAGGCCTCTCAGTGTGACTGCCCTGTTTATCGTCTTTCATATTTTGATAGTGTTAATAAACACAATTGCTTAATTTAAACCAGACTTCACCTGTGGGTCATTATTTCAATCCCACCTTCTTCTATAATAAATCTGAGATCTCCCTCTCCTCTAAGAACAGTGCTGACTGGATTCTGTTAGATACAATGGTGTAAATCCAGAGTAATTCCATTGATTTCATTTGAGTTACTCCAGATTTACATCAGCATACATGAGTTTTGATTATCTGACCCACAATGGACAAAAAAATAGAGCAAATATCTCATGCCACAACAATTATGGTCTATGTTAAAAATAATTGTGATTATTTATTACAAGGATGCTGCATGGGACAAAGGTGTAAGGAGCATTTTAACAGAATTCTGCTGCAAATAAGAATGTACTGACGATTATTTGGGTGCAATCCAAGTAGGCACACAGCTTCTATTAAGAGTCACAGGAACTGTGCTTCTAGGTTTCACTGCACTATAATAAAAATGTCATTCTGTGGGCCTGCCCCATCTTCCACTGAAGTTAGCAGGACTCATTCCATTGACTTCATCAGGGGTTGGATCGAGCTCTGTGTGTCTGAGAAAAGCTAATATGGAATTCAACTGAATAAACAGTTTAGTGATGAAGATTACAAAGTAACCTTTTACTTGCTCTTTTTTTAAACAGGGGAGAGATGTTTTGCTGCCAGTTTGTGTGTTTATTTTCCAGTTACCATAGGAAATAACTGACCTATTTTCTTCCAACGATAAATACCTTTACTGAAGCTTCCTAAAATGAGCACACAGCCAAGACTTGCACTGAGGGTCCCACCCACACTGTCTACTGCTAGAGCCTACTGTGGACTGATTTAAGCATTACCATTTTTACTTGCGGCTGTGAACTGTTGGATGAGTGTTTTTTCTTACTGTATGTTTATCCTGCTGACTCTGCTGTTCCAGATCAGAGATACAATTCTAATAGGAAACCTACAGCATTGTAAGCTGTAAAGAGGCCAAGGAGCCCAGCAATGCCACTGCCCCTCATTCGTAATTGTATCCCCACAATTTTGTTTAGCTCCAACTGTGCACCTTTAAAATGTTTATTCTGATTATTCCTATTTCTCTTCTTGATCCAGATGTTCAGGTCCTGATCCAAAGCCCATTGAAGTTATGGGGAGTGTTTCACTTGACTTAAATAGCTTTTGGATCAGGTCTTCAATGCTAATGCTATTCCTCTTTGTTTCCAGTTTAGTTAATGTAGCATCTTTTCTTTTGTTAAAAAAAAAAAAAGAATCTGTGCAACTTTTTCAATGGGTGTTTAGCACTTCTGAAAAATAGGCTAATAGTTTCTTTAACCTATGTTATAACATTTGATTTGGCATCAATCTCGTAGCTCTTCTCCCTTGTGCTTTTTCATTTCTATTATTAGAGTAATGTCTGTGTATATATTACTCATATTGGCTTATCATGGTTTACTCAAAACAGTGCTAGAATTATTTCTGCCAAATGATAGCCAGCATTTCTATTTGTATATCATATTTGTTTTTCTTACTGCTGCTAAGCACTGTGCTGAATCTTTCAGAGTCTTATCTATCACTTTGTCCAGACACCAGTCCTGTTCAGTGTTGTACAGTATGGACAGCGAATGAGGCAAGTTTGTGTAATGAATGAGGCTGTCCAAAGGGGAATTTGAAAAGCATGTAATGAATGAGGCACAAAGAAGTGAAAGGAGAGTCTTGTGATTAAGTCATTGGACTGAGACCCAGAAAAACTGGAAGAGCCACTGATATTTTGCCCCTGCAAATATGCATTTGAAATGAATTGTTTAAAACTGTATGTCACAACTGGCCCAGTACCACACTGTACGAACACAAGTCTGTTGCAGGTGTACCCAAACACTGGGTTCCACATGCTTTGAAGCCAACTGGCCCTGGGCAGAGCATCAACTATGTTTCTAGCTCTGGAATTCTAGGGCACGCTCCCAGGCTCAGACTTCTTATCTAAGCCCCTCTTTGTGACATGAGACTTTGCAGTCCAGCTATGCTAGACTCCAAAACCACTGCCTCAGACCTCAACCCCCGTAGTTGTTTGCAGATTCTTTTGTCCTGGAAAAAAGCAAAAGGCACATCCCTGACACAGTCCACTTCTCTGCCAAATTTCAAGCCCTCGCTCCAAAGCCTGAAGGCACAAAAGCTTCTAAGAGAAACACTTGTAAGAATTTTTATAACCTGGACAAAACATTGTATTCTTACACACACACACACACACAC